AAAAACAGACGGGACTTATGTACTGTATTAACGCAGCGTCTAACCTGAAAATTGCTAATTAAAGGGGTAATTCCCAAAGGACATATGGGTGGTGCTATGCTCGACGTCTTGGGACTCCCCCCCGTGGCCTATCAACTCAAGGTGTTTAACAGTCTAAAAGGAAATCTTGTAGTATAGTGGACTCTGCTGCCCGCATCCTCTATTCATTAGGAAGAGAGTCTATATTCATACTGAGAATCACAAAAAAAATGGTTGAAAAAAGGAAAAAAGAGAAACCTATACCGCAGTCCAGAGTACAGTAACATGCTACCCTACTCAGCCTAGGTTGCGGGAGCAGGAACCGGCATAGCTCTCTTTGGCCACCAAGCCAGAAAGGATGTCTTCGCTGCGTGCACCATAGACGAGATATAGAGAGAATAAGAAAACCTCCATTAGCCACCTAGAAAAATCCCTCACTTCTCTGCTGACTGGTAGTACTTCAAAAGCAACGAGGTCTGGACGTTGTTCCTCCAAAAGGGGACTATGTGGCTCTAGGAGAAGAATGTTGTTTTTTTACGCTGACCATACCGGAGTTGTTCGTGACTCCATGTCTAAACTTCGAAAGAGCCTGGAACAAAGAAAAACGAGAAGAGAGGCCGGGGTAAAAGCTGGTTCGAGTCTTGTTTAACCAGTCCCCATGGTTGGCTACCCTTTTAATCATGCATTGGCAGGGCCAATAATAATCATCCTATTACTTGTTACCATAGGGACCCTGGATTCTAAACCGACTTATGCCTTTGTCAAAAGTCGAATTAAACTATCCAACTTCTGGTCCTCCGCCAACAATATCAGGCCTCTTCATCCCCTTGGAAATGATTCCTCAATTTAGGCCGTAAGAAAAGGGGGGAATGAAAGGAAAGGACGGTCCAGCGGGCCCCAACCCCTTGTTGGAGAAAACCAGTACAAACACCCATGTAGATAAGATAAAGCAATGCGGGCAGGGCTCAGTTAGGGCATATAGAATTGGGAATGTGAGCGGGAGGTACTGCCAAGATGTGAAGTACGTGCAAGATGTGAGGTACGCGCAAGATGTGCTCTGCCTGCTTGCCCAATGTTGATAACGAAAATATGCTGCCACCGGTCTATATAGATTTCCCCTAAAGAGGTCAGGGTCGTTGTTTTTCCTAACCGTCTGCAGGTCGGTGTGGAGCTCGACCCTGGCTAGCCAGCCCAAAAAAACTCTGCTTTGTAGATTGCATTCACGCCGGCTCTCTGTCTCTCGGGGGAATAGGATTCCGGGCCTAACAGTTGCACATGAGATGGAGCTTCACTGTGCGAGATACATATTTGAAGAGTCATACCATAAAGACACAATAAGGATACATTTCAGGTGGTAGGAAAAATCAGATTTGTTTGATGACTTGCTGTTGGGGCAATCAATTTTGGCATTAGGAAAAAAGAACCCTGAATTCCAAAATTTAAGCTCTAAGTGCAAACAACTTCCAAAAGGATCAAAAATAGTTTTTAAAAAGTAGGTGGCAAATGCTGTCTTGTGCATCCTTGTTGGAGTATTAAAATTCGTAGAACCTTTCCATAGGACAATCATATGATCAAAATTGAAATAACATATTTACTTTGTTCCAGTAGCCCTACTGCTTGTATTAATTTATCACTAAATAAACATGCAAGGAATTTCTCAAGACATAGTACAAGGATGTCTACCAAAGACTTACTTGCAGCAAAAAATTAGAAACAAGCAAAGCATACCTCAACAAGGCACTGGCTAAATTAATGATTGTATGTCTATAAGATGAACTACTTTGCAGAGGATAGGAAAGGTGAAGGAAAACTTTGTGTGCAATTGAGCTATTCAAGGCGTGGTAACTGAAAATTGTGAACAGAACCTCTTGTGTTTATTATCCTTCTATGCAAACATATGTATGTCCTGACCAGGCCTGCCAGGCTCCGCTCCTATCATCCTGCACTGTTGGAATTTTGTAACCATGAATATATTTTTCATTAAAAGCTACATCAATAAGAATGATCTGCCAAGCAGACACAGGTGGTTCACGCCTGCAATCCTAGCTCAGCAGGCAGAGATCAGCAGGATCATGGTTCGAAGCCAGCCTGGGCAAAACAGTTGACAAGACCCCACCTCAAAAAAAAAAAAAACCTTCACAAGAAAGGCTCAAGGCATAGGACCTCAGTTCAAACTCTAGTACTGCAAAAAAAAAAGAAAAAAAAGAAAAGGATGCTCTGAACAGTGAAATGATTCATCACCTTTTGTTTTCTTATTCTTCTTTGTATATTCCTTTAAAAGCACCCTAACAAGTACTATCAGAACAAAAACACTTCAAAGAATATGGTCCATATCCTATCCCCTAAGACTGTGGACAAATCAGTTTAATCTGCATGAAAATCTTATGACCTTTCCCAATTCTAAAATTCTTTTTTTTTAATGTTCTTATCTAACTGAGATTTTGTACCTTCAGGCACCATTGGAAGCAGTCTCTACCCAAGGCCAAGCTGTAAAAGTTGCAGGGGAGCTGCAGAGCTGCCAAGGAGGGTGTTTAATTAGCAAAACTTAGAGCAAACTTAGGGGTCGAATGCAAATTGCTAGCAACCACCAGATGGCAGGGGTCAGGCAGGAGATCATCTCAAAGAGATAAAGTGGGAGCCTTGGTCAGGTCCAGGGAAAGATTAAATGAGTCCCAAACTGATTGGGAGTGGGGAGATGTCTGGGGTTCACGCAGCTCCTGCAGGAGTGGAGAATGGGTCTTTAAACTTCCACTCAAGGCTGCAGCCAGAGGGAAAGGAAGGGCTGAGGACTGAAAAGAACAAGGCAGCTTGTGATGGAAATGGTCTTGACCTATGTGAAAGTCACCTATGAGGCTGTTACAGTTTAGCTGTCCTCAAACCCCAACATGTCTGAACCATGAACATATATACATGCATACAAACACACATGCACATATGGCTTAAAGATTGAAAATGCAGCAGTTCTATTTCACCTGGGAAGAAGAAAAGACAAACAAAACTCAATTAAATGGTTATTAAGAATTTTTAATAGGAAAGGGGTACCCAATTAGCCCTTATTTTCACATTTCTTTAGCCTTTAAAAGTTTACACCTTATTTAAATATGAAGTTAATAGTACCAGCTAGTGCTAGCCTCATTTGCTGTAATAAAGCCTTGATTTTAATTAGAAGCAAGAGCATACCATTCCACTTCTCCTAACTAACCACCTTTATGAGAAGCCAGGCTTACAGAAATGCAAGCTATCATAAAGGCGCCAACATCTCCCTGGTGCATTTTGCCCAACTGTAGACACAGTAACTTGGAACAAATAAATTATAACACTGACCTTGCACACCTAAACTTAAAAGTGACCTAAGACATGAGAGCTTCCCATGTAAACGCTGACCTCTCTCATGACAAAGTCTGACCAAAGCCCTGGCTAAGCTGTGTCCTCTCCCCTCCACTTGGTCATTTCCCAACACGCAGTCTAGCTGCTTCAAACCTTCATCTCTACCTTGCTCTCAGTCGCTCTACTATAACCAGTCTCCGTTCCTTTGAACTTGCCTCTTGGGTCAAATTTCCCAATCATATCATTATGTATGTGGGCCTCAGGGAGAAAAAAAGAATGTGTGTTCAAAAAAACCTGTTATACCTGTCTTTTGACCCTATACTATGCATTTTTTGCATCTGCTAAGGAATCTAAACTATGCTATGACAATCTATTTAGCTGGAGTAAACGCCTCTCCAGAATGCTTTCTTTTTTAAATGTATTTTTATCTTCTTTGGAGAAATTAGCTCCAGCAAGTTGAATTTTTTAAATGGGCTGTCTATATTCTTCAAAAAACATCACACACATCCTGGGAGCAATAACAGTTGCTAAAATCAGCTTATAGATATCTTGAAACAATTCTAATTTAACTTCTTAAGGTAAACTTTTTGTTATAAAGACTAACTTCAGGAAAGAGTTTTATAGTTTTGAAAACTCTTACAGAGCACTTTGGTGATTCAATATGGCAGAAAAGGCAAGTGTTGACAGGCACATGGACAGATGGGGGCAATACAGACATGTGTATATATTATATATGACACATGTAATATATATATGTACATA